CTCACAAGTAAAACAAATCGACCAAGAAGCATACCAATAAAATTGCATTCCATAAAAAGTAACCAGAAAAACTGCGCGTTTCCGGAACCCGCAATATCTGTCAAATATCAATGTGCCCACAAAAAAAAATACCCTGAAATATCATAAAATAAATAAATTTATGTCGGACAATAAAAATAAAATCCAATAAAAATTGTCTTTCCTTTTTTCCGGCCCTAAACTCCCCAACTCAAGGAAAACAAATACAACTTGTGAACAATACACCCAAATATATTAACCAAATACAGGAAATAAATGGATTTACATGCCATATAAGAGGTAAGGACCCGCATATTCAAATGGAGGTCAAGTTCAGTGATAGTTTTAATTGAAAGAACTAGTTCAGATTTAGGGAGGAAACAAATAGTTTTTGCTTTTTTTTGCCCGCATTTCCCCCCGAAATGCTGTAATTTTGAATATTTTTGAACAATTACTTTGTTGTTCAATTTGCAGTTAGGTTTAAAAAGGCAAATGACAGATTACCTCAGGACCCTCTAATTCTAACTACAAGACACCCCTACCAAATTCCATTTGTTGGTTTGCATGACCCAGACTAATGATGTTTGCCTGAAATTTGATGTCAATGAGGGTTGCATATGCCATCAATAAATTTAATTATCGTTAATCTTCGATAATTTGCCATGAGAAAATGCTCAGTTGGCTTGCTATAGATGGTTTCCAATGATAATTTATATGTTCTTAGCCTTAGCAGATGAAATTCGGGATAAATTGTCGCATAATCGAATTATAATAGTTATTTCAAAAACATTCTAGTACCAATATACGAGTAAAATGCAATTAAATTATTTTTTATTAATGGAATCCCCTACAAAATTCGAAATTTTTATAAAAGTTAGTTTGGAAAAGATTTCTGAATACCCCAAAGATGTTAACCTTTGATAAAAGTTCATTTGAAAAAGTCGTTTGAATACCCCAATGATTTCAACTTTTCACTTTTGTAAAAGGCTTAAAACCTACCGTGCAATGAAAAATTTTAGAGTGGTGTAGCAATTTAATTAGAAAGTTCATAATACCCTTGAACAGCGGATTTTCCAATCAATGCAGACACATAAAATGCAGACATATGACGGGCCAAATCAAAACAGTTCAATTAATTTCTAGGCTCAGGACAGATCGCAGATAAGCCAGCTCCCATTACGAGGAATAATCAGCTTTAAGTAAGATTATTTGGCCTAGGTTAGGGTGGTGTTTTCGATTAAAACACACTACACGGCAACCGATAAGCTATAGCTTTACGTATTTACATACACCCCCGGCCATCTAGACGTACATCAAAGTGAGGAAACTTGACATTTTGCACTTGGTCAAGCAGAGAGCGATGCAGAATCGGGGAAATTGTGGCAGGCGGACAAGGCGGTCGACATCTGAAGGGGTTCTGTGCAACTTATGGCGACATCGATAGGACAAATACCGAAAAAAAAGACCGAACCCCTAAAATGTGGGGAAGGCGGGCAGAAGGCAGCAGGCAGCAGGCAACAGGCAGAAGCTGAACCAGTACCAAAACCAGAACCACTCGACAAGCTGTTGGCACACATAAAATGTGCTGAAAGCCCAAAGACACTCGAAAGTATGCTACAGTTGCCGGCAAATGTCTTCACACACACACGCACTCTGTGGGTCTCGTTCCCATTCCCATTCTTTAGTCCGATCCAAAATCCACGGGGCCCACACCCAAAAGTTGCCTGTCATTTATCTTCACCGCTTTCATTTTTTTTTTTTTGTTGCCGGGGTCTAACGAGAAATGTCGAGCAGCCCAAAGTTGCCTTGCTTTTTTATCTTTTACAATTAGAAGCGTTGTGCCTGGGTCTTCCATATATTTACAGAGCAAGAAAAAATTGTTTTCGAGTGCAATTAGTCAAAAATTGTGTCAATGTTCTATTGGGTTTAATTTCTTGGTCAATAGATTATAAAATAAGGAAAACGAAATAATTGTCAGTTTATATTGCAAAATTAAAAATCATAAAGTTAAAACTACTATTAAATTAATGTTTGCCTCCAGTTTGAAATATACTTTATTTATTACTGAAAAAAATTTGAATTCCAAGAGCTTGCAAATAACATTGGAAGGTTATATTCTAAAAATTTTAATAGATTTAAATGGAAGTTAGTTTTCATTTCTTAATTAGTATAAATAACTTTGGAAGTGTGCCATATGTTTTTTGATACTTCATTTTAATTGATTTATTGGTTAAAACCAATAAATTTGTGGAGAATCCAAAAATCTTAGTTTTGAAAAACAAATGTAGATCCTGACAACACTGTTAATTCGACGGACAATTTTTAAGAATTTTACTTAAATAGGTTTGCTTGCATGTTTCTCAGTACATTTTTAGGTATATATATATATGTTTGTTTTTCTGCGAGTTTCTCTTCCTGATTTGTTCGTCCTTTGGTCAGATAAATGCATTTTTGGCCGCTTTTCCCCCTCGTTGTTAGCATGTGATTAAGGAAGGAAATTGTTTTGGACAACGCACAAAACAAATAACGCGCCTGGGGTTGTCCTGATTTTGGAGGAGGATGTTTTTTTCGGTTCTTATCGCCTAAGTAGCATCATTTAACTGCTGTCTGTGGTAGATTTTTGTTTTTCTTTTTTTTTTGTTTTTCTATTTTTTGTTGTATCATTTGTTTTCCGTTTTTTTGTGGGTCAAATGGGCGGGCTTAGTAATTTGTCGTGATAAATGTTTTGCAATAATTGTTGGAATTCGATATAAAAATGTATACCTTCTTTTGTTGTTTTTAAAAAATGGATAGGTAAATCGCAGTAATATAAAAAAATTTTATTTTTTCGTTTATTAATTTATAGTGTATGATACTATGACGTAGTCACAAAATATGATTACGATTAGTGAAAATATGAATTCGTTGGTTACATTTTAATTCAAAAACTTAATTGGTTTTAAACTTATTGTAATTATTATCTAATAAAATAAAAAAGCAATTTATATGTATCAATAAATATATTGTTTTTTAAATACGTATAGGCAATAAAATCTCTTGAAATTAAACCACTAATTGGCATATGGACTTGTGGTTTCCCTGTCACACCGACACAGGTTGTCCTAGTAACTTCAGAATGAAGAGGTCGATGTACAATCTTTACCCTCGAGACGGGGTAGCCGCATATTTATATTTCGGTGGATGATGCTGTGAGGGACGCAGACCCAAACCTAGATAATTACATAATCAGGAACGTTAAAAAACGGTCATTGTCAGTCAGGCAGGGCAAACGGGTGAAGTGACATTTTGTGGTTAAGCAATTTCATTTTCGTCGGCGAGGGTGGAGAAGGTGGCTGTGCCTGGCAACGAACGCATAATTTATAATTGTCAAGGGAATGCCCGTCGAACGAGCTCGGGGATGGGTCATGCCACTGCTGATTTATGGAATTTAATAAATTTTCACAGATTTTAATCACTTGTAATTATACGAAAAGAAGCACTACAACAGCAACAACAACAACAACAACAAAGAGCGAAAAAAGATATTGTATGAATTTCAATTAAAATTAAGAACGAAATCGGCGACAGGTGAAGTGAAGTCCACGACCATTCGGCGCATCTCTCCCTTATTTGATTGGTTTTTTCCAGCATTCAATTCGTGTGTGTTTCAGTGTTCAGTTCAGTTTCCAATTCAATTTCCCAGCCAAACATTTCCTTTTATTTTTATTTCATTATGCTGTACAGCTGTGGTGAACGTAATACTTGTTGAGCTTGGGAAATATAATACAAATGTTATTTCAATAAATGTAACAAAATTATCAAATTTTTGTCTTATTAAAAGAGCTCTCAATACTTCTTAGATTCTAAAATATAATCTCTTTTCAAAAAAATCCAACAGTAACCAATTTCAAACATTTAAAATAATACATATTCACATGCTTCTAGTTTTTAATTTAATTTTAGAAACTACTATTTTGACCGCTTCTGTGAGCATATATTTTTCCTGGACTCTGAGGTCGCTCCTTGGTATTTGTTATTGTATAGTATTGTAGAGCCTCTCATATCCTTACCAATGGCAGTCGCAGATTGATTTTTTTCTCCACTCCTCCCATCTGCGATCCGTATTTTTTGTATTTCCTTGGAGACAAACTGGCCCACCCACAGGACTCGAGTTTTTATCCAACTTCAAAGGACTTTCGGCCGCTGCTGAGCCTCAAGTGTCCTTGCAGTTTGTCCTGCGCCGGCTTATGCGACATTTTTTCTTTCATTTATTTAGCGTTTCTTGGGCTTCGGCTCTCTGATTTCATTTTTTTTTGTTTTCTTCTCCAAAAAGGGGCTCAGCGGGCCTCAAATTGATGGCCCAAAAACGATGAAGAATAAGCTCTCAAGAGGTGTGGCAGAGTCGGCACTTTTGCGGCTGCCATACATTAGATTCGGATGGAGAGGCTGGCAAATGGGATAGTACGATTGGATTGAACCGCCCTTAAAGAAAACCAGGATATTCGGGTTCTAATTTGGAAAATCTTCCATAGTACTAAAGTGTTTATATGTTTATAAAAATAGTTTTGATTTTAATTCAATGAAGTTTAAATGATGTCAAATATAGCCTCTAATTTAAGTATCTGCAAATAAATTACTAAATTAATTAAACTAGATTTTAAGATTAAAAAATTCTAAAAAAAATAATAATAATGGGAACATTTAATTTTTACTTTAAACAAAGTAAAACCAAAATATATTTTATTGTCTAAGAATGCGGTGAAAATTAATATGCATTTAAATACTTAAGATGTTTCTAAAATTAGTTTCCATTGGACTTTAATAATATTCCATTAAAACAAAACTGCTTACTTTTTGGTTTACAATAATTTAACAATAACTTTTTGTCAAAATCTATGACCTACGTTTTTCAAGACGAATTAATTTTGGCGTAAACAAGTTAAAACAATTTAAAGTACAAATTGTCAAATGTGTTTTATTTTGACTAATCCTAGTTGTTTTGAGCATCATTTCTAATATTTGTAATGACAACAACATTTAATGTAATGTTTTGCATATTACCAAAATTCTCAGTTACGCTGAAAGACAAAAAAGATTGAAGTTCTTATTGTTATTATCCATCGATACCGCAGTCAAGTCGTACTATGCCAGAAAATGAAAATGGCATAAGCGAGTCCAAATTTGCGGGCGTCACGCTGCTTATTTTGTCGATCTGTTTGCTGGTCGCCTTCCCACAATGGTTGTTACTGTGCATCTTTGCGGACAATCACCTGCTGTTCACGATGTCCTGTTTCTTCCTTTCGGTCCTGCTGCTCGCCTGCATCCATCTCCTTGAACCGCTAAAGTACTCGAGACCCTGGAACTTTATTGCCATCGCCATTTGCTACGAGCTGCTGACACTTGGGGCTGCCAGTTTTTTGATGGAATGGTCACTGATTCATACCATTATAATTATTGCAGTGGCCCTTATGTTCCTTGTGCTGTCGCTGCTCATATGCTTTCTCCTAATCTGGACTGGATTCTTTGCGAACCCCTTTAAAGTGGCCGTCGTGGGAGCCATGGGCTTTGTCCTGGCCTTTTGCATTACCCAGATGGACGTTCTCGTTGCCTGGTTCTTTTGGAGAGATGTGGCCATCGGTGTATTTATATTTAGTGTGATTCTTGTGATGATCTGCCACGTGCTGATCACCTACAACAATTTCGAAGTACTGGTCAAGGATGATGCTCTGCTGGTCGGAATTGTGCTATACGTCATCTATTTACTCCTCGTGTTGGGCTGTCGGGTTTCTGCCAATTGCATTAATAGAAATATTATTTATTATAAAGGGACGACCGCTGAAAACGGCGACATAAACTGGGAAGACGATGAAGAGGATACCACAATTTACAGATAAGGTCTTTTGGTAAACAACACTTTCCATTTTGATTATTTTTCATAAAAAAGTTTATTATATATGTTTAAAGCTTAACCTGTAACTTATTCGTGTAGATGAGAAAAGGTTGGGTTCTGAAACACATCTACATCCAAATTTTATAAGTTTAGACCCCTTAAATTTCATCAACTTAATTTCAGGGTTCCCTTTGTTAAAAACCCAAAGCGTCCATCATATTTTTTACTTTATACATAGTGTATTTAACAACTTGGATGATCATACAAAACAGACTTAAAGCAATAATTTCTTAGGAGTTTCAGAGAGCAGAAAATGCTGTTATCTCAGCTATAATATATAAAACCTTTTCTACAAGCTTAACGTGTTGGCAATCATTCCAAAACAGTCCGATAGAGATTTCATAAGGTGCATGTATGATTCATTATCGGATCAGGCAAGGTCTGTTGAGTAGCCTCAATCACGTTCCTGATTCATGGTGAGTACGTGACTCGAGAGTCGATCTCAAATCGAAATCTCTGTGAAAATCAATCATCTTTATTTCTATAGATAATTTTACTTGCGATTTTAGCAAATTTATAATTTTTTTGAAACAACATTTTTAAATTTTCTTGCATTGAGCTTTTTCTGGAACAATTAAATTAGGTGCTTTAGTTTTATAATGAAGTTATAAAGATTGTATTTTTAATATGAGAACGTCATTATGGTTACTTTTTTTAATACTTAACAGGAAGATAATCTTTTACAAACTTTCGTCTTTTATACTTTTGCAGAGGGTACATTTTATATAGCTCCCATAGAAACAATCACTCAAAAAACGCAAATAAAATTAGAGCTTCGATTTGAACAACATTTTTTTATAGTTTTGTTTTTATTTTGGAATTGCGGTTTTAATTTGATTAAAATCGGACAAATATATGATATAGTTCTTATTAGAATAATCGGAATATTAAGAAAATAAATGAAAACAAAATTATTCACTATTTTTCATTTTGTTCTTAATTCTTTGATATAATTTATTAGATCGGACATCGATAACATATGTATCAATGTAGCTTCAATGATTTTAAATATATACGCTTAATAATTGAAATTTATTTATTTTAAAGAATGTTTAATATCTGTCATAAATTACTTCCTTCCTTATTTTAATATAAATAACTAACCCAAAGCCAATCAAAAATCGCATTAAAGTGTTGAACATGAAACAGATTTTTGCAAAATAAAAAAAATCATATTATGGACCCTGGTCACTTTGGTCAGCCATAAATTAAACTAGAAAAGTATTTGGCAATTCGAATTGTCCAGTAAAGTAGAGTTGGAGTGGGAGTTGGAGTGAGAAGGGTGATTGGGTGGGTGGGCCAGAAAAGGATGGAAACATAGAGGAAGAGATGCCGGCAATTGAAATTGTCGTCATTTCTGTTGTTATTGCCTCGGTTTTTCTGGCTCGCAGCGGATGCAATTCCTACAAAATGATAATTTATGATAATGATGCTTCCGTTATGGGGCTCACAAAACTGGACACAGGACATTGGACATTGGACTGTGTACGCCGTGGTGCTGCATAAAAATCAGCCGAATGAGATATGGCGAAAAATTTGCCAGTTTCATTCATTTTACGGGTCGGGCCTCGCATATTTATTGATAATTTCCGTGAATTTTGCAGCAGTCAAGCGAAAGCGGAAGTTGTGCCATTTGCTGCACGCCCGCCCAAAAAGGACAATAGTTGTGCCGCCAAAGTGGGCGTGGCAGTGGGTTAGAGTGCTGGCGGTGGGAGTTTTGTTTGGTAGAGCCAGAAACCTCGAATCAAAGTGCCTATCGATTGCGTTGCGTTGCGTTGCGTTGATTTGCCTTGTTTATTGTCTCAGCCAAGGAGCCATCTCCCCCAACCCCTGCCAATTGTTTTGGCCGCCCCTGAGTATTTATGGGTTACGCTTGAACAACAATATAGCAACAACAATGACAGTGGGCTGTGGGCTGTGGGCTAGTCCATTGTCTGCGATTATCAATAAGCATTAGCCAAACAATGGGACGCTCCGGTGTCAGTGGGTTCCCCATTCGGTGAGCATTCTAATGACCTTGAAAATTAGTTCCTGCTTAAATCTCTCTCCACGCCCACGCCCATGCCCACTTGACACCCACACCTACTACTCCTCTCCACCCCTGCCCCATAATAAGTTCTTAATTATTGTTTATTATTTATCGCCGATTGCATATTAATTGCCAGTCATATGACAAAAATTCCATTTTAATTTGCAATTACAAACATATGGCTGGTCGGTCAGAAACACTGACAATATGGTTGGGCTCCGGTCGTGTCTGATGCACTGCATCCGCTTTTGGTCAACGGCAGGAAGATCCATTAAGGCCACATAAAACTCAGTGGACCGAATTGCATTTTATAATGAGCTGCGGATTTAATGCCATCATTTTATCATTAAAATATAGCATTTTCCATTGAGAAAAAAAGCAGTTTTAAATATTGCTTTAAAATTATGAGAACTCTATTTATCACACATGGAAAAAGACTTACCTGTTGTTGCTCATCAATAATGGTTATTATTTAACATTTATATGCACTATTTTTTAAGCATTACAACTTTTATTAGTCGTGTTGAAATGGAATAACGAAACCTATAACAACTAATTCTTCATAGAATTATTAGTTTCAATAAGTGATATGGTCAAAAAATTTAAGAAACATTTATCTTAAAAATACGAAGTTATTTTGAATTAAGAATAAAATCGATCGACTTGGTAAAATATTATATTACTTCTTTATCTTTATCTTTGGTTTGTTGAATTAAAAAGTTCAGAAACATACCTTTATTAGCTTATTTAGCTTATTAATTTGATACAATGGTTAAAACTATTTATTTTTTTTTAACTGATTGTGTTAGAACTGAGTAACATAAATAAGCAAACAATCATATAATCCAAAATTTCCATACAGACAGTCTACAACTCTTGGCCATCAAAACAAGAACGGAAAATCTGTTCAACAGCATTGAGCCGAGCTACTCATTTGCAAGAATTTAAAGTGCACTTGCCAGTTGCATATGAATATGGAAATAGTTTTCCTTATCTGTCCCGAGTCTGGTGCTGACTTTACCAAAATTCGGTGGCAAATGGAGCCAAAAGTTATGGACGAACCCGAAGGCTTCCATTTCCTCGATTTGGCCAAAAAAAAAAAGAAAAAACTCCAGCTAGAGAAACTTTCGCTGGGATAATGCGAGTCCCACAGTGAGCGAAGTGTTTGGAATAAAGTTATGCGCCAGCCAAACAACAATAAAATAATATAATTTTTTGTTTGCCAACTCTCAATTGGGTTGGCAATTCGGTGGGGAATGGGGGAAATCGGGTTGCAGTCGAAGAGCCAGGCTCTTCCATTAGTTTTTTTTTTTTGGCAATTCGCGACTCGTTCGACGCTGGGCCATAAACTTTTCAAGGAATATCGAAAGTTTGCTCGCATCGCGCTCGGCTCGGCAAAAAGCTTTGAGCTGCGCGAGAGACACACAAAGGCTACAAAACTTATAACGAGAAAACTTTGCCACTTGGCAAATGCGCGATAAAGAAACAAACGGAACAGAACGGAGCAAAATAGAGCCGTGTTCCGAGCCGAGATGAGATGAGCTGAGCTGAGCAGCCAAACTGGGAGCGAAGAAGATGCCGGCGAGTTGATACCAATGCCGGAGCTAACTTGGCTAACTTCTGCCCACCGTTTGCGAATCGGGAGTTCCTTATATCTGAAGAGTTTTTTTTTTCAACGGGTGAAACTAAGCTAAGCTACTTCGGGTTTTAAAGTCTCGTATTTAAGGTTAGTATTCCATTAAGAATTCATTAAGTATTATTAATTATTTTACAAAATCCAACATTAAAACAAACATTAAGTTAAATATTAGATTTAAATAAATATTAGATTTAAAGGAGAGATCGCTATAGTCTAATAATAGGAATAACCTTTGTTTAAAAGGTTAAATGTTCTTTAATTCATTTAAGAGCTTCATATTTGAACTAAAAGTGTTTGAAAAATGTTAGTTAAACAAAATTTGAAATATATGTGTCTTGCAATCTTGGCTAAATAAAATAAAATTCAAAACAACTGAACAATTTTAAGTAAAAGTGAGTGTATTAAACTCACATTCTCAATGTCATGCTAAGTTTTAATATTAAATTAAATTACTGATTTGAAAACAATTACTTTATGTGACACTGAACTAGAGGCAACGTTCTAGTTTAAATATGTCGGTCGGTAAAACTCAATTTTTGCAATTTCTCCTATAGAATCCTCTGAAACAGATTTGTTGTTGAAAGAAAATAACGATCACTTGTGTCTCAACAATTTGACTTCTTGTTAACTTGTTCTCTCCTATTTGAAACTAGAACATTAATATGACAATGAGAAATAGCTACTTACCAAAATAAATTCAGTAAACTCTTGACAAGATTTATTCGGATATACCATAGCAATCAGACAGAAAATAGGGTATTCTGGAGCAGCGATTGGATAAAAACTTGCTCAGTCCCAACCCACAGAGCCGCTGGCTGGCTAAATATAAAACTTCGGCACAAGCTGAATTTTTCGCTTACAATGGAAAAGCGGAGGGAAAACTCAAGAAAACTCATTCGCGCGTTTTAACTAACTGGCAGAGTGAGCCGGCAAGCGAGTGAGCGAGCAAGGTTGTGCCAGGAAAGCTGGCAAAAATTATTATTTACGCACGGATGGTGTCATCTAATTATGAATTCATTTTCGTTTTCTATGCCGGCACCCACAACAACTGACTTTCTTGGTTTTCCTTGGGTCCCAGGCAGGTCTGAGAAATTAACAAAATGCGACCGCATTCGGACAATGCACCTGCAGTCCTGGGAAGCAGCTTCCCGATCACCATTCTTCGCCATTATGATTATGCCGGCTGTGCTAGGTCGCTTTTAATGCCATATTTTGCATGAGCATTTTTTCCAGGCCGCCCGCGATAAAAAGTTTGCTGTACGCAGCATTTTCAGCATTTTCAGCATTTTGCATTTTGCGTTCTGCATTTTTGCGCCCAAGTTGCATTTTAGCCTAGAACGAG